TTTAATTTAAAAAAAATTAAAAAATAACAATTATTATGAAATAAAAAATGTAATTATTGGTAGGGGGAGGACCTGTGGGTCCAAGATCATTAAAGTTAACCTGTCAATTGTCAATTCTACTCGCACTCCAATGAAGACAGGTGGCCCAGAGGGCGGGAAAGCACCTGCACCCCCGATTAAACACGACTACTTATTCCTTTCTAGAAACGGATGACGAAAATTTAAAATAAAAATTTTTAAATTAATGATATAATTTATGTGATATTATTAAATTTATTTATATAATATTATAAAATTTAAAAAATAAAAAATTAATTATTAAATAATATAAATTTTAATTTTTTTAATAATTTAAATGATATAATTATCTTAATAATTTTATTTTTAACCATGAATTTTAATCTTATTTGTTTTTCAAGTATATTTAATGAATTTTATTAAAAAATAGTATTATTTTTAAATTCCATTTCACATAATTAAAAGTTTAAATAATCCTTACTCGTTGAATACTTGAGCCATTTTCTTAAGAGGACAATGACTAATCCTAATTTATCTAAAATAAGTCATTGATCATTGTTAGTATTAATTTAAATTTTAGACCTTAATCTAACTGATTTGTATAACACTTTAAAATATATTTAAAATTTCTTTATATCCAACGAAAATGATAGGGGCGTGATCTGCGTTAGCAGAGTCCAGCTTCAGGTGGAAAAGATTTTGCTTTATCTAAGGGTTTGTTTGGTGTTACTTCGTAGAAGCTTTTGTTTTTTTAGTATTGTTATGAATGATAAGTTTAAATTTTTATTGAAGAAAAAATAAAGTTTTAACTTTTAAAAAAGTGAAAAAGTGAGTGAAAAATAAAAAAAAATTATAAAAAGTTTAAATTTAAAATTTTTAAATTTTTTTACTGTTTAAGAGTTTTTTGATATTTAAAAAATATTTAAAAATATAAATTTAAAAAAAATTAATTTATAAAACATAAATAATATCCAAAAATTGAAACTCCCACTGTCTACAGCAAGGCTCTAAACGTCTTTATGGGTAGGGTAGGAAATGACTTTGCATGTCTTTATTGCGGGTGGTGTTATTACCGCAGCCACTACTGTTAATACCACAGCTTTTTTTAATTATTTGATTATTATACCCCTCATTTGAATCCAACTTGCAGCAGTCACCACCTCCGCGTCGGTTAATGGTCAATTAATTAAAAAAGCTGTGGTGTTAACCTGTGAAGCTGTGGCAGTAACACCACCCCTTTATTGCTTTATCTAATTGATTTACACAACAATCTTTAAATATACACAATAAAAAATGGTGGGAAAAGTCCAAGACTCATGATAAATTCTTCAGGGCAACAGATACCATGTCAGCTGTATCTACTTTAAAAATTGGTGGGGAAAGACCTTTACACAACAATCTTTAAAAATTGACTTTGGTCGTTCACGTGCCTGTTATATACAGTAAGTGATTTACACAACAATCTGGAAATATACAGAGTAAATAATAAATTTCTTTTATTTTTTTAAATTCATAATATTATATATTAATTAATTTAATAATATAATATAAACTATATCATTAATACCAAACTTTTATCTCAAATTTTTATTTTGAATTTTCTTCTTAAATTTCCATCATTCTTTCCATTACTTTTAATTTTAATTTCAGTATAAAAGCTACTCTGTAGTGTAGTGCCTAATGGAGTTATGTCTTCATTCTCGGTAGGTGGCGCAATGTACGTTGATGGAGACCGTAGAGTCCAGCTTTTGCATTAAATATGCATAGATTCTGCTTTATCAAATTAAATGTATTTATCCAAAAAAAAAAATCTTTATTGGTAGGGTAGAGAAAGAATTTGCACGTCATTATTGCTTTATTTAATGATTTTTTATTTTATATTTTAATTATTAATTAAAAATATAATAAATATATTTTTTATAATTAATTTAAAAAAAATTAATATTAATTTAATTAAAGTTATTTACATAATATTAATATTAATATTAATATTTATTATTTTTTATATAAATTAATTATAAAAAATATATTTATTATATTTTTAATTTATATCCTTAATATATTACCCTTCTTAACAGAACAGCGATCTTAAAATGTAGTACGCAATAAAAAATGACCGAAGACCAAGACTTTCGGCTGGGGCTCACATGCCAATTACATGCACCATAGCGCCGACAACGCAACACAACTCCAATTATGTAAGAGGAAATTTATTTATATAAGTTATGTATTATATTTAAATAAAATTTTAATTATTTAATTTTTTATTTTTAATAAATTTAAAAACTCGCGCCTTGAACAATGCCCATTTAGCTTGTGCTTTTAACAATAACGTGAAAAACAGGAGTCAATTTAAAAAATAGGTTTTGATTCAGCTCAATTTAACAAAATTTTTTAATTTTAAGTTATAAAATAAAAAATAGTTCTCTTTTACTTTTTTATTTATCTTTTTTATATATAAATCACTTAAATTTAAAATTTTTTACTATATTTAAAGAATACATTACCATGACTGCTTAAGTTATTGCCATGTCAATTAACATTTGAATTAGGGACAAGGATACTAGTATAACAAAATAATTATAAAGATTTTTTTATTATGTACCTTAAAAAGTATAAATTAAAAGTGTAATTAATAAATTTTTTACATTAATTAATATAAAAAATAACAAAAATTAATATTAATTTTATTTCTAATACCATATAAATTATTTAATTAGATACTTAATCAAATAAAAGTTAAATTTTATTTTTTAATAATAATTAATATCAGAAAGTTAAAAAACCCTAATTGTAGTGAGTTTGGATTTGGGGTTTAGAAGGGAAAGAAGGGGAGAGAAGAATTGCCACTTATTTCATCGATTAAAAACCAAGTTGATAGTTATTATTGTACAACACTAAATATAAAATCGATAATTTTTAAGTAATAATATAATATAAAATTATAAAATTATTATTATAATTTAATATTAAATGAATATGACATGTTATTAAGTAAATAAAAATATATAATATTATACATATTTTTAAAAAAAAAAAAATTAATTATATAATAATATATTATATTATAAAATTACAATACTAACTAATATTATAATATCTCATTTCTAATATAAAATTAACATCAACACTTTTAGTTTAAAAAGAATTTTTTAAATAATTAAAAATTTAAAATTTTAAACTCAAATATAAAATAAAGTAAAAAAATTAAAAAAGAAAAATTATTATTTATTATATAATTAATTATTTGATTTATCAAAAAAATTAACATCAATATTTTTAAAAAATAATTTTAATGTAAAATCAGTATAAAAGCTACTCCCTAAGGCCTAATGGAGTGATGTCTCATTGTCGGTAGCTAGCGCGATGTGCGTTGGTAGAGACTGCAGCGTGCAGCTTTTGCATTAAAAAGGGGCAAAGATTTTGCTTTATCAAAATTAAATGTCTTTACCCAGAAAAACAATGTCTTTATTGGTGGGTAGGTAAAGAATTTGGATGGCATTATTGCCTTATCTTTTTTGATGTAAAGGCATTATTGCCTTATCTAATTGATTCACACAGCAATCTTAAAATACACAGTACACAGTAAAAAATGACGAAAGAC